AGAAAATTTCAGACAGAACCTGAAACAAAAAGTTTCTAACATAGACAGAACTAACTAAAATCAAACGAAACAAAAACACGATCAAACACCAGACGAGACATTTAGGTCAATGATCGTAACCCCTAAAACGGATTCCACCATGAGTTCAATCAAAACATAATTATTAAGCATAAATAGATTTGTATACCATATCTTTTTTCTGACTCAGTAACTAATCCAGCCGAATACCAATCATTCTACTCAAAAATATGTTTTGCATAAAAGATACGCATACAGCAAGATTAGAATGCACCTGTCCGCAAAAGTAGTCAGGGGTACCCACAGAAAATTAAGCAAATTCAGAGTTACCAACCATCAATACTCAAAATTCTTTATTTCAAAGGCTGCAGAAAAAAACACGTATGAATCCATATTATGAAACGATCAATACCTCTTTCTTGCTTCCAGTTTACCAAGATTGTTGATTGAAGCCTAAGAAGAGATCACTGAAGAATTTACCATGTTCAAGCCATTCACGGTGACACTTAGATTAGGCAGGGTAGACTTTCCGGTAGATCTAACAGATTTTTTTTCAATTATGATTCGAGGAAGTGGTTTAAATAGGAGGAGAAATAAAGGGAGGTGGAACGAAACCATAAATAAAGAACATGATTGAATGGTGTGGGTCGTGATAATGTTGATTTGCAGAGAATTGAAACAATGGCGATTGACTTTCGACGACGAAGTGGTAGAGGTAAAGACGTTTGCTTGCAAGATCTGACGTGGCAAAATAAAACCCTTTTATTGGTTAATTATTTTTCCTGACGTGGCATAGCTCATTGAGCTTCATATCCGCCTTTTAATATAGTTAGATTGTGTGCTTTAACTTTGGACTTTTAAAATTATCTCACCGTATGATTACTTTGACAAAAAATACATTATCACTGAATAGTGAATACAAAAATTTACTACAAGAGTCATGAATAATAACTAAATTATCGCTATTTCCATTTCTCACATAAATATTACACTAAGCTGCTACTACTAAAATCTTAATAACTACAATGAAATTTCAAAATACCATAATACTGGTCAAAATCTCGTGCATCTTTTGTTATTTTTTCTAAACTTTTAGAAAGCTAGAGTTTGTGATATTTTTAATTTCTTTGGATTTTGGTAAGATTTATATTTTTTTTTTAACTTGAGAATCATCATAAAATGCAATTTTAAGTTATGCTTATCTTTTGAAAGGATTATTGAAATTTAAAATCTTTTTTACTTAGTATATTTTATAAGACTAAAAAGGTATATTACAAGGTATATTACACTATTATTCAAAATAATATATATTTTGTATACTTTTGCCCCCACTAATTTTTTTCTTCTAGATCCGCCATTACTTGTTAGTCTTGTCGTTTATCTGTCTCGTAGATTAGGCCTGGGCATTTTACCCGGACCCGAAGACCCGAACCGGAACCGACGCGAAAATACAGGTTCGGGTCCGGATCCGGGTCCATGCTGAAGTACCTATTGGGTCCTTTGTCTTTGGACCCGCGGGTCTCGGATCGGGTCCGGGTTTTACCCAAGACCCGTTCGGGTACCCGTAGTACTCGCAAATTATTGCATATATAAGGTATATTTAGGTGTTTGGGTATATTTTTGGTATTTCGGGTAGTTTTAAAATTTTCGGATTCGGGTTTTCGGGTATAATTTTAGGTTTCGGGTAAAATTTTAGATTTTCAGAAAATATAATTCGGGTACTTGGGTAAAATTTCGGGTATTTTTTGGGTTTTCGGGTCTGATTTTTTATAATTTTTGGATATTTTCGGATATTTCGGCGATTCTTCGGGTAATTTTTGGGTTTTCGGGTCTACTTTGGTTATTCGGGTCCTTTTCGGGTCCTAAATATCCGAACCGACCCGGATCCGAAGTATACCCGAAAATTATGGATATTTTACGGGTATTGAAATTATAGACCCGAACCGACCGGACCCGACAAGACCCGACCCGGAATCGACCCGAAAAGTTATAGGTACCTATATGGGTCTAAATTTCCAGGACCCGAAGGACCCTGACCCGACAAGACCCGACCCGAATCCGACCCGAGGACCCGGATGCCCAGGCCTATCGTAGATGCTTCCCTGCGCAATTTTTTTTATAATTAGCAAAGATTCATCAAAAGAGAGAGATAATAGTTTTTAGATTCCAAACTATATACAAAACTGAGAAGATAGTTTAAATAACCTGAATATTAGACCATGATTATTGGTTGAAACCAAAATAGGTTTCTAAATTTTTTTTCTCTTATCTGATTTATAAAAAAAAAATTGGAACCAATTGTGTGTCGTCATGTGTCATAGAACCTGTAAAACAGTACAAAAATCACTCAAACATTAATTTTTAACTGGCACTTTTGGTTATCGATTTTTATGTTTTTGTGGTCCCCCTCTTAAGAAACTGCTAAACGCCTCTTATGTACATGCCCTTAAACCATGATTAACCATAGCTCTTAGGGAAAAAAATTTGCGAGTCCCACCATCATCTTAAGAGTTGCCCTTTATGTGCCTTCTGTAAAAGGCAATTTTTGCAAGGTTCTTAGACTGTTCGGGGATTTCACCGACACGTAACGACCAGCAATTAGTTTTAATAAAAAAAATCCTAAAAACATGTGCCTCTAATGGATAATTATGCTCTTAGAGCACCATTAAAGAGGACTCTGAGGTGAACTCTGAGGCCCACTATTTTATTAAAAACCTCTTAAATATCTTTTGCAAAAGACAACTCTACCAATCGCGGCTCCACTGACACAGAGCGACTCGCAATTAGTTCTTTATATATTTTTATTAGTAAAAGACAGATAAAAAAGAAAAAAAAATTAAGAATCCTAAGTGGGTTCTTAGGATTAATGGTGCTCTTAGACTCTTAGGTAGATAATGTTTGCACTAATTTCATTTACACGTTCAATTTTTAATACCAAATAAGAAATTTGGCTAAATTAAGATAGTATATAATTAAATTAACATATTAGAAATTAAATCTTAAATCTAAAATAAGTAAATTATAATAGACTACCAGTAACAAGAATAAAATAATAGTCTAATACTATCATATCAAGAAATTATTGTTTTCTTTATACCATTTTCTTCGTGTGACATAGTATAAATTTCATCAAAGTCCAAAGAATCATAAATGTTATAGTCTATTTTTTATGTGAAATTGAAAGGTGTATGAAAAGTTTAATCATTTTTTTGTAGAAATATCATCAAAAATTTTTAGACTTTATTGGGTCAACACCAGTGTTGAATCATCGTTTAATGACAGGTTTTTATTGAGTTTTTAATTATTTGGTTTTTGGTTAAATCCAAACCAGTTCTTTCTCTTATCCTCTAAATAGCCGATTTAATCTCATCACTAAAGCTTAATATATCGTCGGATCTATATCCACTGACCTGAGTTTCACAACTCCTTTCGCCGAAGAATAACTGATCATGAGATGTTTTCAAAATATATAAATATATGGACATACGCATAATTATACGTTTACACCTGTTCTGGATTTTTTGAAATAAGATCTTCAATTTTCTTGACATTATAAATGAGAAAAAAAATTTTGTATAGCTATTTTTTAGTTTTTTCCACAAAAATAGTTTTAAAGAAAGAAAATTACCAAAATGTTAAGAAATGGAAATAGTGGTTGGGACATATCTGGGAAATGGACCAGCTCAGTCTACTTCAGTCCACTTCAGCCCCACTTTAGTCCTAGTACAGGCGGCCAGCTACTTGTCATTATCTACTCGTCCACCCTTGTGTTTATCCATATATTTAGTAGTTATCCAAATCCATATAGGATTAGGATTATCTCTTTACTCGTAATCATTATCTAGTTAGGTTCATGATTATCTCTAGCAGTGGCGGTTTGTACACTCATATATATATATGGGACGATTTTCTTAATGAGAATACACAAGTTACAAACCTTCTTAACCTCAACACGTTATCACGCACGAGCTCTATCCTAAGCGAAAATCCGATCTCAACCTAAACCGTAGCCGCCTCCCTCTCCTCCATACTTGGGGTTTTCTCTCTCTGCATCTCAACCTCAACCTTGAAGCTTGTAGCTGCAGATCCAGAGCCTCTCCAAAGTCCATCCGACCTCTCTCTCTCCGCAGATCCAATCCATTTGCCTTAAAGGAGGTCCATTCAGAACTTTGGTGATTTTGAGGTACAATCTTAAAACTAATAACATAGATCTCGTCCCCCCCCCATTAATCTATGGTAAATCTGGTGTTTAAAACTCACACTTGATCCTCTTAAAAACCTAACTTATGTGCATAATACAAACTTGTACTCATGAGCAAAAGTTAACCTAAAAACCCTAATTGCTAAAATCAAAATCTTTGCTTAATGAAACTCGTTTTGATTGTTTATTTTGATGAGTTGTTTCATGTTGAAAGATTGATAGTTCATAGTGATTGATTTCGTGGTTTTAAGATAGAGTAAACTAACTTTGAAAACCCTAGATAACTAAAGGCATAAAACCGGCTGATTTTCTCTCTCTAGAAATCGTTTGATAGATGTTATTTTTGATTGTTCCAAACTGTTCTGGTTGCATTAGATCTGTTAAACACTTACTGCAATTTATCACCTTGAGACTATATGCTTATTTGATCATTGGAATGTTTAGATCTGAAGTGTTTAAGAATTCGTTTTTTTTAACTCTTATGCTCATGAAACTTGAATCTGACTTGCTTAAAACCCTAGCTCTGATCTTGATATTTGCACGACCTAAGTCTGCTTTAGAATGTTAATATGATCTGTCTATTTTCCTTTAACATTGAGAACGAGTGCTAGGATCATTGGTTGCATGATTAAAATTGATAGTTTGCTAAAACCCTAATAACGCATGAACCCTAAAATCTGATTGACATAAAACCCTAATCTAAGATTGAAAATTTTATGGTCTCTGCTTGATATAGTATGTTTACATGAACCTCTTGTTTGCTTGTAAGAATATTTGCTAGAATAAAAATTGTTTGTATGAATCGGAATTCTAAAGTTGTTAAAAACCCTAGTTTTATTAAGAATTCCTAATCTTACTAGGTTTAGGTTTTGTTCAAAAAAAAAAAAATCGACCACTATTTGATATGTCCTGATAGTTTATAAAATAAAACTGATCATCCTGAGACTATGTGTTGATTGCTATTTTTTTTAAAAGCAAAACCATATAGAATTGTTGAATTGAACAATTTGAAACCCTAAACCTAATGCTATGTGATCCGATTTCTATCTTCTTGCAAAACTTGTTTTTTTTTAAAAAAAAAATTCCATGATTGCATGATCACTCTGATAGTCTTGAGTATATAAAACCTGATGTTAGGTTGTGAATGAAAACTGTAGGGTTTTCACCTTGAATGTATATATCGCATTGTATTGTTAAGTTGAACAAACCCTAGACATAAATTTGTGAATCCGATTCCTTATGTTTGCAATACTTGTTTTTTTAAAAAAAAAGTTTCCATGATTGCTTGATCATCCTGATATGTTCTATGAATAAGAAATCTGATGCTAAGATTTGAATGAACATTTTGGGTTCTACTTTGATTTAAAAACGGATCATATGACTTTACTAGATGATATTGCTAGATGTTTAAACCTAACATGAATTGTGAACCTTGCTTGCTTTTGTGTGATCATATGTTCATATAGAACCCATATATTAGGTTGGTTGCATCATACGTTGAAACCTTTGATTGCAAGAGCCTAATAACCTAAAGTGATCCGACATTTATATGTTCTAAAAGATGAAGTTTATGAATTTCAGATGTTAAAACTTAGCAACCTTGATTATGTTGCAGTGCAAGTCTCTGGTGACAACTACTTGGAGTGGGCATTAGACACACGGATTATGTTGTAATCCAAAGGATTGGTGAGACAATCACAGTTGGTAACAACGCAAGTGATAAGGATAATAATAGGTCTCTCTTTTTGATCCGACACCATCTACATGAAAGTCTGAAAAAATCAGTATTTGGCCGAGGATAGTCCTCTAGAGCTTTGGAATGCCTTAAAGGCCAGATATGACCACCAGAAAACGGTACTCTTACCAAAAGCTAACTATGAGTGGAAAAATCTGAGGTTCCAAGACTATAGGTCTGTGGATGAGTACAACTCAGCGTTATTTAAAATAGTCTCAACGTTGAAACTAGCTACTTGTAATTCTCAGCGTTATTTAAAATAACTACAAGTCTACAAGTAGTTAGTTTCAACGTTGAGACTATTTTAAATAACGCTGAGTTGTACTCATCCACAGACCTATAATCTTGGAACCTCAGATTTTTACACTCATAGTTAGCTTTTGGTAAGAGCACCGTTTTCTGGTGGTCATATCTGGCCTTTAAGGCATTCCAAAGCTCTAGAGGACTATCCTCGGTCAAGTACTGATTTTTCAGACTTTCATGTAGATGGTGTCGGATCAAAAAGAGAGACCTATTATTATCCTTATCACTTGCGTTGTTACCAACTGTGATTGTCTCACCAATCCCTTTGGATTTCAACATGATCCGTTTTCACAACTCCTTTCGCCGAAGAATAACTGATCATGAGATGTTTTCAAAATATATTAATATATGGATATACGCATAATTGAATATGTTTACACCCGTTCCGTATTTTTTTGAAATAAGATCTTCAATTTTCTTGACATTATAAATAAGAAAAAAAAATTGTATAGCTATTTTTAGATTTCCACAAAAATCGTTTTAAAGAAAGAAAATTACCAAAATAAATTTTTATTAAAGGATAAATATACATATATATCCTTTTAACTAATCTACACTTAGGGTTTACAGTTAAAGGTGAAGCTTTGAATTTATAGTTTCAATTTTTTTAAAAATAAAAATAAATATTACAAATTTTAAAATAAAAAGGGACTATTTTGGTCATTTTATTTTTTTATGGCTATTGTTGTGACAATACCTTTAAAAGAACTATTTAAGATAATTAACCTATAAACCATGACAGTATTTTATACTCCTTTTATTAACTGTTTATTTAAATTTATGGGTTTGTTGATATTTTGATCATCGAAGATCTTTCTAGAAATCTCATTTCTCAGTCTTAGTTGTTTATTCATTGAGTATTATCATACGGATAAATGTACATAATTTATTTGTCAGTTGTGATCTTGTGAAGATCTCTCTATACTGCATACTCTAAAACCCCTCAATAACCCTAAGAGAAATTAGGCCTCACACCAAGGAAAGATGCTGTATTTAGAGAAATGCCAATGGACGAAAAAATCATAACTGTTCACATGTTAAAAAGTCTCTGGCACCCCTACGGATAAAACAGCTCCTTTCATTTCCCTACAAAAATCAGAAAATCAAAGAAATAAAGTTCCCTGCCACACGTCATCTATAGTGTCAGATTACATTAATTAACCCATACCAAAAAGAGTTTTGAATTGTAAAAACTAGTGCCGATATTATCTCTTTCATCAAACCCAAAATTCTCTAAATTGGCGAGATCAAATTAGCTTATAGGTTATAGAGCATAGGATTCAGGGTTTAAGGATTATAACTCAGGGTTTAGGGTTTAATGTTAAGGGTTTTGGGTTTATGATCCAACCTAGTCGAGTTTAATGGACATAAGCAAACTAAACAGCAACTTGTACAGAAATATATCTGTTTAGCCGGGTACCTTGGTTGCACTGCTCAAATCCTTAACATGGTCAACCAAAGTTGTAAATCTAGAACTTCCGATTAGCTGGCTAATATCATATTTGAATGGCTACATATGTTGATACCCGTATAAGGGTAAATCAAGATATGTAGTATGCAGGGTTCAGTGTTTAGTGTTTAGGACTTATTGTTTACGGTTAAGGGTTTATCGGTTAAGGGCTTGTTTCTAGAGACGATTTCTCCCCTAACCGATAAACCCTTAACCGTAAACAATAAGCCTTAAACACTAAACCCTGCATACTCATATCTTGATTTACCCTTATACGGGTATCAACATATGTAGCCATTCAAATAGGATATTAGCCAGCTAACCGGAAGTTCTAGATTTACAACTTTGGTTGACCATGTTTAGGATTTGAGCAGTGCAACCAAGGTAGCCGGCTAAACAGATATATGACTATGTTCAGAAAATCATCAAAATATGATTAAAAAACTATTTCGAAATACTTTTTTCGAGTTTGAAACATATAGAATTTAAATATTTACCCATGGGTTCATTGATCCATAGGGGGAGTTTTTGTTTAGATTTGATCGCATGGGTTTATGGTCTAGGTTTAGGGTATATGTTTTCGTGTATAGGAGTCGGGCTTCCAGAAATAAATTCATATACATCACTAGGATATTAAAGTTATGGATTATGTTTGGATGTCTTTCATATTGTTAACCGGCTCATCTATTTATTAATCTTTAGTATATACACGCTGACAAAATTGGTAGTCATTGTGAAAAAACTTACTATTAGTATTTGTGGATGGTTATTAGGACCAATAACCGTCCAATCCAAGGTGTACACATATGTATGTGTGGATGGTCACTACCACAAGTAACCGTCCAATCCCAGTTGTAGACATTTGTGTGTCCATGTTAGCAACTCACCTTCATTGTACTGAACCAACATGATCCGGTCTAGTCTACCAAGATTATTCATTGGTTTAGGGCTTAGGATGATCTCTTTAACACAAAGTGGAGGACGGTATAGGGTTCATGATTTAGACAGCCCCAAAGTGGAGGACGTACAAATACACATCTATATACACATATTCTGTAATTAGAGGAGGTAAATCTTTGGCTTTGATTTGTTTTTCCCATGCACCACTTGCGTCAAAAATTGTGTGGATATGAAGGTTTCTGCAGTTAACACTATTTAAGTGTGTTTTCCAATGCAATCTAATAATATCATCTAATATCTAAACAATATCTACACAAAATCTAAAGAAATCTTCTACACCTATAAACCCTACACACCTAAGTCCACGGAAGTTGAAACGCAAATAGGGAGGACATTTCCGTCATCAACCATATACCAATCTCTACAACTTTTTGAATCACGTACTGTTATTGGCATACTCTTAATTTGAGCTTCTTTCATGGTTTTTCACCTAATTTACTCTAACCCTAATTCACTCCCTACGTGCAAGGCCTATATAAGCTACGATAAACTCCATAAAGAAAGGAAAAATAGAAAGAGAGAAGAGAAAATTAGAGCATGTCCAATGGTGAGTTACACCATTGGAATCCTTAAACATTTTATAATATTTTTTTTGTTATTTGGTTGCTTTTTGAATAGTTAAGAGTTTTTATGAAAATGCTAAGTCCAATGGTGTTATACATAATAGAATCTTTAGGAATTAAAAAATAACAAATTTATAAAACATTAAAAATTAAAAATTTTATTTGTGGAAGAGAAATAATCCAATGTTCAAAGAACCACACGACATGTATACAAAAAAACATAACAAAAAGGATTAGAGAGCAAATTAAATTCATACAACAAGGATGAGATTGGTACCTGCTATGTAGCACTCAAGAAAGGTTCTTGATAACAACAGTGGAACGAAATTTACCAAGTCTTCAAGTTCTAAATGAGAAAGAGCATCTAATTCCTCTGTCCAAGGCCAAGTGTTATCTTGTAAAACCACTGAGCAGTAACTCAATGCTTGTTGATATGGTTGTTGGAATTTGTAGTTTTGGTATGCCTTGGTGATTGTCCATGAAGCTTCTGTAACACCGATGAATGCCTTTGTTCATTCATTTTCTTTTATCTGCAAAACGCAGCAAAGAACAGAGAAGCCATGATCAAAACTAATCATTGTAACATATAAATTTAACATTTCCAGCACAAGAGCATACTTAGAAAACAGAAAAGCCATTGCCAACCTCTTGAACCATGGTGTGGCCATTGCCAAGCTCTTGAGCCATGGTTTCGTTGCGTGTTTCCTCAAAAACTTGTAGAATGCAACAACATACCGGTTCTGTTGTAGCACTTGTTATCATCATCAAGAAACTGAAACATATATTTTTGGGAAAGTAACTTTAAGTATCAAGTGACTATCAACACCACCAAAGAATATATATATCACAGAGTTAGTTAGATTGACCTTAGTTCTTGCAGAATATGATCCACGAGCAAACATGCCAGAAGGAGTGGTCTCTTCAGGCATCACGTGATTGTATGGCTCCAGCTGAGGACTAAATGTTCCAAGGATTTCCTTTCCTCTGTCCACTGAAATTCCAAAGAAAGAAGATCATATTCATTGTCTCTTAAAACAATTAAGAGAATCTAAAACACAGTGAACCTCAGAGCATGCTAATTTACTCGACATCTTAGTTTTTGCAAGTCATCACTCAACTTGTTTGAAAGTATATAATCAAACTTGTTCAATTGAACTACCTGAAACATAATACAGTAAAACATAAACCTACAGCTATATACTTATCCATAAAACAACCACTTCTCAGTGTATTAAAAAAAGCTTCACGTTTTATGTTTGGTAACAAACATCATCATGAGAGCAATCAACAAAAGCTAGCACTACAATAAGAAAGAGTTTCAGGGAAGACTTTGTATAGAACGGATCCGCGGTGGTGGATACGGCTCCGAGGTAAGCGACGGCGAGGAAACAGAGAGCAAACTCTGGTGAATTAGGGAGAAGGAGCATGATGGTATCACGTTGGTAGATCCGTCGCCGTCGATGAGACATGTGGCTGTGGAGTCTCCGTCGCCGTCGCGGGAGAACCTTTGGAAGACGTAATCGGTGAGAAAAAGATGATTAGGGATGGAGATATCGGGAAGATCGGATAGGAAGATGAACTCATGAGAAGAGGAAGTCGCCAATTCCTTGCCTCACCAAACTCATCACCAATCCACACCAATACAAAGTCGCCAGCTCACCAAGGATTTAACCCCTCACAAATCCTTAGTTAAGGATTATTTTCACCAGTAACGTAGCTTTTTATTATTATTTTATTCTAATCTGACAAGATTTTTTCCTAAGGATTCATTAAAATGCACCGTTGTACGTGCTCTTATATTATACAATGGAGAAGACTGAAATGAGTAGAAGAGAAGTGATTGTATACAGAGGAATATGGTATGTAATGACTCTACTCTCGCTCTTTGGCCTCTCCATATCACTCAATCTTCTGTGGCCTCCTGGGGGAAAGTCACCAGCATTGTCTCGGTTTCTCAGGGACGGCGCGGTGAGTGCAACGACATTCTATGCCGTGACGTTACTCAGGTATCTATTATTCACCGATCCTCCTTCCACTAATGGTTACAAGGATTTTACTACACTGAAAGAGAGGTGTCCTCAGCTTCTCTTTGCGGAACTTGCCTTACCTGCGTTACTGACATCTACGATAATCTATTCGGGGTTCGTGGATGATCATGACGTATCGTCTGTGTTATACATGTCGTTATTCACCATATCGTTGTTCATCGGTGGAACAGGTCTGATTCAGCTATCAGATAAATTTAGGATGGACATGAAACATGCTTATATCACGCTTCTCTGCGGTTGCCTGTCTTGGCTTTTTGGCATTTATTTTTTTATTTACGGCGGAAACAATAACGTAGTGTGTCTCATTATTATCATAGTTTATAGTATGTATGCCAGTTTCATATTTAGTTATAATTTAGACAAGGAGGAACGCTCTATGAATTCCAGGGTTTCCCCTCTTCCTGCTTAATTTGAGATAAGTTTTTCTTTATTGTCTTGGTATGACTTTATAGTGACGCCCAAGAAAGATACAATATTGTAGTTTTTTACTCTAATAACGGAACCAATCAAGTTAGATAAGCTTCTTCTTAAGGAAGAAGCGTTTGAGATGCCAAACTTGAAAAAGTGAAACGATAACAGAGATACCTAAAGACATAAAGCTAAGCTGTGCAACCCTTTTGTTAGTCTTGTCGTTAATATCTCTCATAGATGCTTCCCTGCGCCATTTTTTTTTTAATAATTAGCAAAGATTCATCAACAGAGAGAGAGATAAGAGTTTTATGATTCAAACTATATATATAAAAGTGAGATGATAGTAAAATAACCTGAGTCTTAGGTAGATAATGTTTGCCCTAATTTCATTTATACTTTCTGCAGATTTTCGAAGCTCAAGCTCCACACCCTGCAAATAATGTGTAAAAACTATGAATATTCTAATATATAAATTATGAATTAATTAAGAACTTTTTTTTGGTAAAAATTAATTAACAACTTGCCTCAATCTTTTCTTTCTTGGCAACAGCATCCCAGTCTTTGGTTCGAATCCCCATCTTCCAGTCAAGACTGACTATAGCAGTGCCATTGACTGTGTGATGTGACTGATCATGATGAGACGACAAACAAGCAAAGTATGTTCCTGTCTCGCTCGTTGTAAACGCAAACTGGCCATGCGTCTCGTTTTCTTTCTTGTGCAGTTCCTTCCCGTAAGGTGATGTTACCTATAACCACCAACGCGTTACACATGCACCTAATATATATAACTTCCATCATATTTCTCTTACTCTACTGTGTAAACCGAAACACACAATCAAGATTTTATAAAACAAATGTTGGAATCCGTTCTATCTTATGATAGTGACGATAATATGTGGTTATTCAGAAGAAGAAGAATTTGCTAGTAAAATAACAAGAGTGTAGATGTCTAGTAAAATAATTTGCTAGAACTAGATTTAATATAGACAACTAGGGCCGGCATGCGCTACGCGCAGGATATGATTATCGTGTGATGTATATAACTATAATATAGCTAATTGTACTATTACTTAGAGTTCGATAAGTTTGGTATTGATTTTGATTCTATTTGAATAAGTAAATATTCGTCATGTGTGGTTATGTATATATCGTAATTTGTTTTCAAGGAGTGTGTGTTGGAAAGCTACCAGATTATGATGTGTACTATAGATAATAAATTAGCGGTCTATGTTTTGCACAAACTTACACTTGAGTGTGTCACCTTGTTTCAGGTTCAATGTAATTAATTGGCGATCTATAGTCTCAAAGTCGAAGGTAAAATTCATTAGTGTGTTAACTGTATTATGCTTACCTTTAATAAAGTGTGGGGGGTTACTATATGCAGTAGCTTCACATATCTTCTTCCTAACATAAGAACCAAAAAAACAAAAGGTGAAATGGCGGGTGAGCTTAAAGTTATTGTAGAAGGTCGGGTCTGTTGTATCTGGAGTTCCGGGGGCACCACTTTTTAAGATTGTATTGATGTTTCTGACCGGGAAACTCCTTGCTTGCCTCAGAATGTACATGACACTTTTCAATAAACATATGTTTGTGTGGAACATCTTGGGGTGTAATGAAGACATTTGTTTTTTTTTTAAAAGAAATTGAGGTTGTTGACGAATGTGACATATGCTCGAGCTCTTAATTAATATAGTAGCTTGGCTAGATGAAAGTTCTAAATTATGATGATGGAGATGAAGCGTTGATGGACAATCGTGTGGAACACAATGATTAATTTGAGTAACACATTGGCAACCTTCAGCAGAGGGCTTCCAGTCTTTTATTAATACATTGGCTGAGCTATGAATGAAGAGTTTCTTTTTTTTCAAAGTCAACTCTAAGACAATATCAACTTCCCTGGTGTATATCAACTTAGGCGTTCCAAAATAGATGACACCAAAAGATTATAAGACGTTACATTTTAATGTCATTGTGTAAATCATTGTATTAATCTCTCTATAACTTTTAAGACAATGGTATTCATTCTCTTGTTGCGTTCACAAAGTACCAGAACCATAATTGTGTACAGAAAAAATATAATATCGATCAGAATCACAACTTAGTGTTTCTACACGTAACAGAAAGCCTTTTCTTTTGCATGAGACTTTTAAGTCTTCTACTTATATCAGAAACAAAGATAGAGAAGAATCCATAAACTCTTTTCTATTTCTCCAAGAAGCCATACCTGTGGTTTCCATTATTTAGGCCAAAAGAGAAATATCCATAACTCAGACCGTGAAGAACATCAACTCTTTTTCAGATCATAAAGATTGGTCTTTGGGATTCTGTGCTTCAATGTCAACGTGCTGGATTCCAGGGACAAGGTCTCGGATCTGTTTCTCTAACCGGATTACTTCACTTCCTAAAGCTGTTACAACTTCCTCACCTACAACATGCTTAGACAGCTTGGAATATACAACCTCGAAGACAAATCCACAAGAAAAAGAACTTGGTGCACTGCATATCGTAATTTGACATAATATTGAGCATTGCAGAATCATCCCCTTTCTCTGCAGCCTCGCAAAACTGAGAAAGTACACCATCACTTTTTCAGATAGTTTTGAAGTAACTAACCACATATTTAACTAACGGTATTGTTCATCTTCAGCTAAAGAAAGACAGATATGAGATAAATGCTGCAAATTTAGTTACCAATCCTTTGAAACAGTTGAAGAAACTCACCTATTTCAGCTTTAAATCTGAAGGATTCAGGACCAATCACTTCACTTTTGCAATCATTTAGAGCATATAAAACCTACACATCAAAAGTTTCTTATTTAAATGCGTTAAACATAAGATGTATGAAAAGAAGAATGTGTACCAAGTCGTTCATTATGAAGTGAAGAATTTTACGCATGTCTTGATCATCCATTGCTCTTCCAATCAAGGCATGTCGGATCTGTTGAATGAGAAATATAGCCACCTAGTAAAATCCATACTCTTTGGTCTTAGAAAATTTAATACAGTGAAGTAGGAATACAAATTAAGTAGAACTCGTAAACGTACCATTCCAAGTAAGTTTCCAACAACAATCCTATAGGATCATAAATAGCATTTCCTGTCATCTTAACAGCAACCAGAGAAGCTGCGGCAATTGCCAAAACTGCCACTGCAGTGCCGCCCTGTGCATTTACAACAATTATTATCATAAAACAATTTAGCAGAGGGTGGAAAAACTGTTTCAAGAATAGTAAACTAATACCTCGGTCATAACAGCAACAGAAGTAGGATCATGACCACGCCAAATATAATCTCTTATGGTCATGCCTTCTTGTGCAGCTCCTTTTTTGACAGATTGAATAGCAACGGTAAGTGAAGCACCTTTAAGACATAAAGGATTATTAACCTTGAGAATGTAAGCTTGATGCATAGCAAGATTAAGCAGAAGTTATTACCTTCAATTAAAAGGAGCCAACAATTACCACATCAGCATATTCCATATTTGGAGGTGGCTGAGAAAGATTATCAATACTGATGAACATCAAGCATATACAACCAACGAAAAATACAAAAATTATCTAATAAACCAAAGATCAAGTAGCAGATAATGTCCAAGCCAATTACCTCAAAAGTCCACAAGTTCTGTACTCCGTAAACTATGGTAGCACCAAACCCAAGGCAAAAGATGCCAATAGCAGATATCAAAGACCCTACAAACCTTTCCTTTGAGTAGCCATAGCTGAGCCAAGAAACAACATTTTTTTGGTCTAAGCATTTTGCAAACAAAAGAAAGCTCTTATGTTACATAAGAGTAAATATAAGATCAATTAAAGAAGTCTCACGGATGAGGTGTGTCTGGTGCACGCCTTGAGCTACTGAGCCCATAAGCAAGAAGAGCCTACAGAGCCCATAAGCAAGAAGAGCCTACAACATTCAAATGTATGAGTTGATGAATATACTAAACTGGACACACCAAAAAAAAAAAGCAAAAAGAAAGCTAAACCTTGTTAGGAAAATCAGCAACGAAGTGAACAACTTCAGCCATAATGACATGGCTAGAACTTGTCCACCAAACCCCTAATTTGAGAGAAAACACAACAAAGTTTCACCACAGTGCAGTAGTGACAATTCTTTGACTGCATGATGTTTCACGAAAACATAACTCAACGATATAAATATAGGGCTTTTTGCATAATTGACCTGAAACTTGAAGTCAACCACAAAACTAACCTCCTTTTTTTTTGGAACTTTATTTTGTCTAATTCACCCCACAAGTTCATATAATTCACGAAAATGCCATCAATTTGTTTTTTTTATTTTTTTTTCGAAAATGACATATTTACTCTCTCACCCTCATCATCTTCAAGTAATTACAAGA